CCCTATCTGCAGAAGTACCTGAATTATGCGATATGAAGAGATTGTCCCACTTTGAAAAATACTGCTCTAGACACAAAGAGACACTTTGGGAAAGCCGCTAGTGAACCTGCACCACTTGATTTACCTAAAAGGTCCATAGCCATGGAGTTTCCCTACTTCCATTGGCTCCAGTTCACCATTTCCAGCCGAGGGGAGCTGCAAGGGAGCCCACAATTATGGACCTTTTAGGTAAATCAAGTAGTGCAGACCTGCTAGCAGCTTTTCCATAGCAGGCCCAAAGCCCATTTTGAGAAACACGGCTCTAGAGGTAAAAAAAAGTAGGTGGTATCCTCTGATAAGCCATTAAGGATGCCAAACAAAACTTATTATGAAACTTATTATGAAACAATCTGACAGACCACCAAACTTATTTTGTGTATTTTCATTCGATCACTACTGATCTGTGTTTCTGACCTTTGAGAAATCTGAACCAGCAACCTAGAGACAAGTACAAGATTTTTCCATATCAATAATTCTGCAAACAATCCAGTATTCGAACTTTTTTGTATTTTACTGAGGGATATAGAAAAAAAATTCAGGGTACCAACTGAAATCTATTTTCCAGCTTGTATACGAAAAACAAAATTTAAGTTTAATTACTTTTTTAAAAGTCCAGCCTTGTGTTTGTTATACAAGATGGCAAATCTCTCTTTATAGGTCAAGCTCATTTTGAAACAAGCATATTTGCTACAATAGCTGCTGCATCAGTTCCTAATAAACTGTACTGTCAACTACTTGTGAAAGTTTTTGCCTTATGATCATATTCTGCCAAGGTTGCAGTCCTTTCTAATTACAGAATTCTAGAAAAGACTTACACTATACCTGACTTACATAATGCTCTATATGAGCATAGATGAAAAATATTTTCCAGCAGCTTCTAATGATGCTAATGGCAGATAAAACAAAGTCATATATTTTGTTACTGGGAAATTCCAGATCACTAGAAGCCACAGTTTATTGTTTTCTCATTCTTCAATTCCTTACCCCATAGTAGAATCCCAACCTAATCTAACTAAAACGTAGGTTGAACCTCCCTGATCTGGCACTCTTGGGACCTGACCAGTCTCAGATGAGGGATTTTGCTGGACATGGGGCAGTCGTTTCTGGACCCCCTGCTGCCAAAGCCCCCCTTCAGCCTGGCCAGACAGTTGCCTTCCCAGCTGGTTCTCCCTCTTGCTGGCCCTGCTGCCCTACTGGGCAGCCCCACCACCTCTGTGCACCAGTCTCCTGCTGCTGCGCCAAGCAGCCCCACTCTCTCTGCTCCACCTGCCAAGGCAGGCAGCACCACTGCCTTTGCGCACCAGGCTCTCAGTGTTGCACTGTGCAGCCCTGTCGCCTGTGCGTGCCAGCTTCCCGGCTCCTGCTGCTGTGCATAGGGTACCCGCAGCCGTGCATGGGGCTCCCACAATCCTGCTGGGAAGCCTCGCTACCCTGCCAGCTTGCAGGGCTCTCAGATACTAGCCCCACACTGGGACTCCCTGGTCCTGGAACATCCATGGTCCATTGCCGGACTAGAGAGTCCCAGTTAAGAGAGTTTCTACCTGTACAACAAAATGTGTCTTGTGAAAACGAGAGACTATTAAAAACTGTCTTTAAAGACTGAAAAAAAATTAGTAGAAACTGAGTAAGACATTTAGAATGGTCAACCTGAAATCTGTCAATTTCACAAAAACAAGGTCCTGCCATGAGAGCAGGGCACTGGACTCGATGACCTCTCGAGGTCCCTTCCAGTCCTAGTATTCTATGATTCTAAGTTAGAAATAATTTCAGCTAGTACACCTACTCCCACGTTTTTGTTTTGCTTTTTGCCAAGAGACCCGCATGAACAAAAGGAGACTGTCTTGACTATCCAGGGGAAACGGAGTAGGTAAAGTTCTGCCAAATGCACAGTGAAAACAAGTTTTCTTAACACATTTCAACTACAGTTGTGTTATGTGTAGGTAAAATGTGTGTCAGAGCATTAAAGAAACGAGTGTAACGGTGCACCAGTTTTGTAAGCAACAAAAGTGCCTTACATTAGGAAACATCTCAAAAGATTTTATAGTGTGGATGATTTAAAGCACCACATTAAGTGTTACTTTAAATTATAAAAATGGTAAATTCAAACCTCTGATAAGCATATTTCCCAAAAAATAGAAAACCAATCACAGTTTTAGTTAATATAAATTATGTCTTATATCCCCCTTTCCTAATCTATGCCACTGTGAAAATAAGTTACAAAACTTCAGCAAAATTGCCAATTCTGATATGATGGTTCCTTTTTATAAATTTAAACTTCAGTTGGATTTCCTTGTTAATATAAATTTCCGGTATTAACTGATAGCATTACATACATTACTACAAGTAGTGTACAAAATACTGAAGACACAGGATATGTTCCCTCCTGGGTTTTTCCACAATGTTATTGTTCTCTAGTATGCAATTCTGCTACAATCTTTTCTAATAAATATTTATATTATTTCTAAATAAATTCATTTTTGCTTCCATTCATTTTTTTGTATATATAACATCATGACCATTAAAGTACTGTTCTGCCACAGGGATGTTTCAAAACCACCACACGGTTTGGGTATCAGCAATATCAAGTTTGTATTAAAGCAATGACAATTTATGAAAGGTCAATATAAACTCTTTATATAGACTGTCATGTTATGAAGCAGCAATTGGTGTTTTACTTTCAAGTTAGGACCTTGCCTATAGTCTATATTGTAGACAGTAAGTCAATAGGTGGACTGTGGGTCAAATCTGAAATGCCGGACACTTTTGAATAGACCACAAAATTTATTGACCTATTATTATTGTTATGCAGTGTGAAAATGTTTCTCTGGAGTCTGAATCTTGACTATACTTTGACCAAGAAATCTGGACCTTGAATGCTACTGTAGACATCACTACTATATTTTTAGAAGTTGCATACAAATTACTCAAAGTATAACATCTTTTTGGGTACCTTTTGTTCACTTCCACTTAAATTACATACTTTCCATTTAGACTTTTTCTTTAGCTTACTAACTTGAAAGTCATATTCAGAGTTGCATCTTTTTCTGAAAAAAAATACTTCATTTTTTATAGATTTAGTGAAGTTATGAAGTCTAAACAGTCTTGGGCAGCAGGTGGCAAGAATTACCAAACTCCACTTCCTGATTGAGAAATAATAGAGCATACAGTACAGGTACAGCAAAGAGATCTACTAACGACTTATTTATTTAATCATACAGTCAAAACATATTGGAGAATTTTAACAGTTGCACTGTTTATAGTCCAACTCCATATTTACACAAATTTCAGGGAGGCTTGGAAATAAGTTACATTTTCATAACATTCTACAAGTATTAATATACAACCAAAGAAAGGAGTTATCTGAATGTACTGAACAACATTTCTATCTGTTCATTATCTTCTCTGAATGGATTACAAGTCCAAAGCCTACATCCAAGAAAAGGTGCATCTGGTGTGATCATTACACACTTCAACGGGAATGGGGGTAAAAAAACAGAAACAAAAATACTTTCTCCTAGAAAAAGGCTGGAATTAGATTTGATGGTTTCCCTGCTGGAGACAGCACTTGTAAGAAGCACAACTGAAAAAGCTGCTCTATTCAACAGCCTCTATTATGCATAGGGTGCCCAGCACGGCCTACCCAATTACATATATTTCGTTCAATGAACCGACTCGAGTGTTTGTAAACATACTTGATGTGCACCCAAGGGGCTGAACGGAGCAGGAAGGGAAAAAAGGAAAATCTCGGCAGCTGGCACGTGGAATACAGAGAACCTCACTACTTGCACAAGGATTTCAGGGGCTTTTTTTTTTTAATCTGTTTGCCAGATCGAGACAAGGCCTGGAGACGCCGTTTTAGCTCCCTCCCAAACAACCTGCCCAAGGGGGGGGCGCTCCTGAGTCACTCCGGGCATTAATCTGACGAGGGAGACAGGGAGAGAGGGAAGCTGCTCTGGCCAAGAAGATTATCCTCCGGGCAGCGCGCGCTAAGCAGGAGCCCAGACGGGGCTGGGGGCCTGGCGGAGGGGGAAGGCGGCTGCTCCAGCATCCCCTCGCTAGCTCCCTCCCAAACAACCTGCCCAAGGGGGGGGCGCTCCTGAGTCACTCCGGGCATTAATCTGACGAGGGAGACAGGGAGAGAGGGAAGCTGCTCTGGCCAAGAAGATTATCCTCCGGGCAGCGCGCGCTAAGCAGGAGCCCAGACGGGGCTGGGGGCCTGGCGGAGGGGGAAGGCGGCTGCTCCAGCATCCCCTCGCT